ATATATACATAAATGCAGCTTTATACTTGCGCCTGATTACACAGATTCTAGTGAGGATTTGAACCATGAAAGGACCATCTACGCCCAGGCACGTGCAAACAGAATCGTACATGCGTATTAATTTATAAAATAAACAAGGAAAACGGAATTTATCCAAAAAAGTCTGGGCAGGCAAGGAGAGGTATTTGTAAGTGTTCGACTGGCGGGAAAAAGAAGAAAAGTCTTGTATTTGTTATTTTTTTCATTCGGAAATTTTTTGTTGTGTGTTGGAATCTTTACTTTTTATTTAAATTGTCCCCATTTCCTGCCGATCGATCCAATGACAAACCAGTTTTTTTTCCTGTTCATTAAGTTTATTCTTTCTTTCTTTCTTTCTTTCTTTCTTTCTTTCTTTCTTTCCTGCTTACTGGAGAATACCTAATGCAGAACTTGTGTCCTCAGACACACACACACACATGCACACAGACATACATAAACATAGATATATATGTAAATATTAAAGGATTCTTTTTACAAAGGACGCGCAATTTCATTCTTTTCTTTAGCGAGAAAAAAAGTACTATTTATTTAAAGATTTATTAAAGATTTATTATTTTCCGATTTATTTAAAGGTTTATTTTTTAGGCCTACACACACACAAACACGTACATTCATTTCTTTCGTTTTTGATCTGATGAAGCCTAATAAGGACGAAACGTGTAATCTATTTTCATTAAACGTTTTTCCTTTTGTCCTTTTCTTCAAACTTTGTTTGGATTCTGTATCCTATTTTACACACACACACACACACACACACACACACACACACACACACACACACACACACACACACACACACAGAAGCGTGTACACACAAACACACAAACGTATACACACAACCACATACACACAAGCACACAGACACACACACACACATATATATACACATATTTATATCAAGAAATATAGTCTTAAGGTGCCCTATATTTATGGGATAAAGTGCTCAATATCAGAGATATATCCGATTGCGTCTAGCATGAAACAGCCTGTTGCCTCTAAGTGTTGAATTCAATGTTCACTTATATATATATATATATATATATATATATATATATATATATATATATATATATATATATAATGAGACAAAGTAGAAAAGTGTTTAGGCTTCATGTGTGTCAGGATGTCATTAAAGAGCTTTTCCATTTTGTCTAATTTCTCCAATTTTGTTCAGATTCCTGCACACACACACACACACACACACACACACGGACATACAAACACACACACACAATATATATATATATATATATATATATATATATATATATATATATATGCATATGTGCGTTTGGGTATGTGCATATATATACATGTTTGAAGTTCATATCTTTTAATAATTCAACTATCTTATTCTCTCTCTCTCTCTCTCTCTCTATATATATATATATATATGTATTCTGTTCCTGTTCATCTATCTATCTATCTATCTATCTATCTATCTATCTATCAGAGCCTATTCATATCATATCTGGAACAATCTCATCCATTGAACTGAAATAAACGCACCATTTGAGAGCACTTAATTCAGCTTTATCTTTCTCTCTTTATCTACCTAGATCAGTCTATTTACACCTCTTTTTCTCTCTTTGTCCTTTTTTTTCTCTTTATCGCTCTCTCTCTCTGTTTGTCTCAGTCTATTCATATCTATCTATCTATCTATCTATCTATCTATCTATCTATCTATCTATCTTTTTTTCTGTTCCTGTTTTTCTATCTATCTATCTATCTATCTATCTATCTATCTATCTATCTATCTATCTATCTATCTATCTATCTATCCGTCAATTTTCACCATGTTCATAGTTTTAGAATGCTTCTATCAACCCCAGGGCATTTCTTTCTCTCTCCCGGGCCATTTATTTCTTTGTGTCAAGCTTCTTTTGTATTTTTAGAATTTGTCGCGCAGAGATATATACAAAACACCCACAGAAAATACACATGCAAAAACGTACACAAAAGCATACACGATAGCACACTCACACAATACCATACACAAAAACATACATAGAGACACTAAAACACACAGAAGAGGATGCAAAGACCCCATACACGAAGCAGATACAAAATCAAACAAACAGACACATATACAAATATATATATATTGGAACAACGCACCACAAAACATGTGAAAAAACACAGACACACTATAACATGGGCACACATATGCATACCATCACTGATATTTTCTATTACTCATTATTCTGTTACGCATTTTAGCATTGTCTTTTTCAATTTGACTAATAAATACAGACCTATTACTCATACAAGTGTGTACACATGCTGATCAATCCAGTTGCATTCATTTTCTATTTTGTGTCGTTTCTTTTTTTTATTCTTGTTGAATGCTTTTGTCATTTACATATGTCCAAACATAGAGTTGCATGGCACAGGGAGACTTGTCATTGTGAACAATGAAAAAAGAATAAACAGAGATTGTACATATCATGTATGACTGCAAAAGATATCTGAAACCCTTTGTGTCATCTTAAAACATAGCTACATCACAATTACAAATGGCAAAATAACTATATATATATATATATATATATATATATATATATATATATATATATATATATATATATATATATATGTGTGTGTGTGTGTGTGTGAATGTATGTGCGTGTTATTATGATGTCATTATTAGTTTGACTCCATGATAGCTACATGGCCTATTGTTTTTTTTCGCCTTCTCACGCTCTCACGCTCTCTATCCCTTCTCTCTCTATCTACCTTGGCCAATTCATATTTCTCTATCTACCTACCTCAGTCAATACGTATCTATCTATCTATCTATCTATCTATCTATCTATCTATCTATCTATGTTTATTTATATCTATCTTGGTTTATTAATATCTGTCTATCTATCTTGGCTCATTAATATCTATCTGTCTATGTCTATTCATATCTATCTATCTATCTATCTATCTATCTATCTAGGTTCATTAATATCTATCTATCTATGTTTATTTATATCTATCTATCTTGGTTTATTAATATCTGTCAATCTATCTTGGCTCATTAATATCTATCTCTCTATCTGTCTATGTCTATTCATATCTATCTATCTATCTATCTATCTATCTATCTATCTATCTATCTATCTATCTTATTGTCTTTCGTCCATACTTTTCTGCTATCATTCCATGCTAGAATTTACAATTCTATTACAGTTTTTCTATTCTTTGCGAAAATAAACAAAAACGAAATTAAAAAAAAAAATAAATAAAAATACGCCAAAAATATTTGTAAAATCGTCGCCAAAGGATACAACAATATTCCTGAAAATGCTTTTCTAATTTCTTTGCCATTTTCTCTTCTAATATCCCTCCCTTTGTTTTTTCTTCCTTTTGCTTCTCTATTTTATTCCATTATTTTCCCCATGTACCTTCATCTAATTTCTTTCTTTTACTCCTATATTTATGGTCATCCATTCGTATACCTGCCTCTTTTTCGACATTTATTTTCTCTACATTCTTTTCCGCCCCTTCTGCTGACCTATGTCTCATCCTCTTCACTTTTGCTTCTATGCCGCCATCTTACTTCAAGGCATCGATTTTTAGCTGTGTTGGTAACAGGGATGTTTTTAGGAAGAATGGAAGCAAAAAGAACATAGACTTAAAATTAGAAAAAACACAGAATTTCTGGGATACATAATGTGGAAGGAGCCCTTGGAGTATTTGACATTCACAGGACATACTGGAGGTAATTCGGGCAGAGGGAAGTAAAGAACAATCTATCTAAGGAGCTTGGGTAAAACGAATTGGGATAGAAAGTAAAAACACTTCTTCTATGTGCTGCTTTCCCTCAAGATATAGTCGGTTATGGCTCTCCACAACTTCCTCGTGTGGCTCCTAGGAGTTTTTTTCAATTTGTTATGCACCCCTCCCTCGTTCTGCCATCAATTCACACAAGCTCGTCCAGTCAGTGGCTCGATGCCGTCTATTCTCTTTCTTGACCTCAGTATTCTCCGCTTGCCTTCCTCATTATGGACCCAAGGAATTGCAACTGTCTTTTCCAGATTCTGAGTATACGTGTTCTTTCTGTTGACATTTTCCTTGTTGCTTATTCGCTCTGTTCATGAAAATTTCAATATCCTTTTGTTGAATTCCATTCCTGCTGTTTCATTTTTTTATCCTCATCCGTGGGGAGATTGTCCAACATTCACAGCCATATGAGAGGATGGATATTATACTGCAATCCAACACTCTTTCCTTTATTTCTAGAGAACTTTGCACCTTGCCTATCTTCTGGAATGCCGCTTTCGCTAATCCAATGCGTGGTCGGATCACGGTGTCTAACTTTTCCATCGTCTGTTAAAACGCTTCCCAGATATTCGAATTTCTGCACCTGCTTGAGGTTTACATCTTCAATTCGCAACTCACATCTTGGGATTTTTCTCTTGCTGATGACCATACTCTGAATCATGCTCTCCAACGACCTGAATGGATACGGCACATAAAAAAGAAAAACAAAAAACACATTTAAATTCTGTGTCTGCATAATTCATTAACACGCCTGAGAGTTTCCAATGACAATTTTACTGCATCCATATTTAATTTTTTCTTTAAGTTCTGCAATATTTATTGGGCGCGTCTGATAAACAACTGATTTCAAATAGTCCTACAGAAAAATCCAAGGGTTTTGAGGTCTAGTGACCTTTACGGCATATCCATAAACCCCGATGGTGCACAAATTTTGCCTCACCTATATATATATATATATATATATATATATATATATATATATATATATATATATATATTGTTACGGGACCTTACCCATAATAACATAATGGACTATGCCACACGTAATAAATAGTGCGCCTTAACAGAAACAGATTCGTGTTCAGACAATCACTACTAAACCTGATTGTTCGTACTAACACTTTTTACCTCTCTGTATATATTCCTGTTTGTAATATATCTGTATTATTCCATATACGTGTTCGAGTTCTTCTTTATTGGTTCTACCTTGGACTATCACTGTGGTACAAGGAACCGGACCCATATATATATATATATATATATATATATATATATATATATATATATATATATATATATATATATAGAGAGAGAGAGAGAGATAGATAGATAGATAGATAGATAGATAGATAGATAGTAAGGTAAAATCCCCTTGATATATAATCTACGCGGATCGTAGTTATATGAAAATATTAGAAATGATCCACAAAATGAGCTCGATGTATTTTATTTCATTTATACAGAGCAATATAATTAATAATCAAGCAAATCCTTTTACCTCATATGGGGAATAGGCTATTTCGGCAGACAACAAAAGTGGTTATCTGTCATTTCAAACCCAGTGTGGAATGAAATGAAGTTCATGTCTGTAAGGTTAGAGGAAGCGGGTCAAGGAAGGCGGTAGGTATCATCTTAAAGGAAAGAAGTTTTATTAAAAAAAAACAAACAAAAAAAAACAATATTAACTTTATGACGACAAACTGGGGGTATTAGAAGAAAAGACAAATTTTCAACTTGAATTAAAAATTAAAGTACAAATTAAAAACGAACACCCAAAATAATATATATATATATATATATATATATAAAGATTCGTAAGGGATTAATGAAAAGACAGAAACTTTATAAATTATACTTATTGTACTTATTCTTTTTTCGATAGATAAAGATATACGCCTAATTATTGATGAAGGATGATTAGATTTAGGATGTATATACAAAGGATTATTTTTTTTTATAAGGTATGTATACATTTTTCATTAAATCTAATGTTATATCAAGGAAGTTAGTTTTTTTCAATTTAGTGATTACCGTAATTTTAAGTTCAGGCATTTAAATTCTTTGTGCAATATCTTTATAATTTTATCGATTTTAAAATTAGTAGATGTCTTTATAACCATAAGTCCGTCGTCTCTGTATAAACCAATGTCAGTTATATTAATTTCACCGTACGCTGTGAGATTTTATAATATAAAAAGACCTATAAGGTCAGAAGACACAGCCAATGGAATCACTAGACAAAGCTGAGTCTATCGAAAAAAGAATAAGTACAAATTCAGCAAATGAGAAGATTTTCAATGAACATATTAATTTCTATAATAAAGCTCTAAAAGATAGTTGCTACAAAAGCCGAAAACTGACTTACATAAAAAAATGAAAATGGAAAGCATAGAAAAAACAGAAGCAGAAAAATAATTTGGTATACACCCCCATACAACCAAATGGTAAAGAATAAATTAGGACAAAAATTCCTTGCATTAATAGTTAAACATTTTCCTAAAGATAGTAAACTCAGTACTAGTTTTAATAAAAAAATACACTAAAATTAAGTTACAGCTGTACTGAAAACTCAGAGAAAATTATTAAGAAACATGATGCTAATATCTTGAATAAACACTTAGACCAAAACCAAAGAAATTGGAACAATATAAAAATAAAAAGAGATGAAGATAAACAAAAATTATGTAACTGCAGAAATCCTCATAAATGCCCTCTACAAAATAAATGTCACACGGAATCATTAGTATAAAATGCAATATCTCATCTATTGAAGATTCCGACAACATAAAAGTCTATATCGGTTGCACAAGCCATAAGTTCAAGAAAAGATTCAGTCAACATCAAAGTTATTTTAGGATAAATAAATACCGAAATCAGACGTCCCTATCGAAATATTTCTGGCACTTAAAAGAAACCAATAAAACACCTACAGCAAAATGGAAGTTAATAAGAAAAGCTAGAATATGTAGGCCATTAAATGACCCTTTGTGCATACATGAGAAACTATATATTACTAGGTTTATATAAAAAATAAACATTTACTGAATCATAGACATGAAATAACTATTCTTTGCCGACGTTGTCAAAAATTTTCCTTAAATAATATTTAAAATAAAAGAAGGCG